TGAATGCTGCCGCCTACATCGAGGTTTTAGAAACATTTGTGAAAATGGATTGATAGTGTACGTGGGGACAGACCATACATATTCCAGCAAGACTCTGCTCCTTCACACAAAGCCATGACGACACAAAATTGGATGACCGAAAATTTCTATGACCACATTACCCCAAACTTATGTCCACCTAGCTCCCCAGACCTTAATCCCCTGGATTATTACGTATGGGGCGTAGTTGAGCGGGAGACCAATAAACATCCTCATAATAATATTTCATTACTGAAAGATGCTATAACAATAACAATGATCAAAATGAACAAAAAGCATTTGATTCTGGCATGCAATCGTTTCCGACCCCGGATTGAGTCCGTTATTGCCGCTAATGGAGATTTTATTGAGTAATTGTATAGTCTAGGAGTCAATTAACGTCGTGTAAAAATTTCATGGAATTATAATAAATTTTGCAAAAAATATGAACAAATTAGTTTTAATGTCAATTTGTCCTCAAATACCGTACGCACCCTGTATATTCGAGAAGTTGTCGAGCTCGTTCTCTTTCTTTTGGACCGTTTTGCGAATCATCTCCGAAATAACTGAATCAATTTCTGCGACACGTGAGCGCGCGCTAACTCGGTAAGCACCGACTTTAATTTTGATTTGCGCTCCGAAACCTTGTGAAGAGAAGGACCATCGTTCTTCGCCAGCGCGAGCCTGGTCCGGATCTCAACAAAGCAAAGGAGAATTCGCCGATCGTATTCCACGACAATCCGACTTTAAGCGCTTGCGTTCTCGGTCGGTCGGAAAAGATCACGCCGAGCATAATCTGTCATCGGAAAGTAAATCGCGTCGGGTCCGCACAACTATCGATATTCAGCTGACCACGAGCGTTCGATAAGAATAAAGATCTGTATCCGCCAACTTCGAAGTGTCTGACTCTTTGCTCCTCACCGCTTGACGAAGCAAGCGATTTTCGTCCCTTTGCGCCTCACGCGAGACGAATCCAGCAATCGTGCGTCGCGGGAACCGGCGCTCATGCATTTCATCAGATTCGAGATGCGCCGTCCGCGAAAAGCGCGAACAGAATCCGATAGACGTCCTACTCGGGAGGAGATGGCGAATGGAGATATTTCTTCAAAAATTTATTTATCCTACTGGGACACTTTAATTGTTGAGAATGGAATTCTTCATAGAAAATGGCAAGTACCCAATCTCAAAGGAAGTATTCTTCAAGTTATTGTTCCACGTTCGGAAGTTAAACGGATTTTGGAAGAGGCACGTGACGCTCCTTCTGGAGAATATTTTGGTATTAATAAAACTTTAGGGAAAATTCGAAAACGTTTTTATTGGGCAACATGTAAAAAGGATATTGAAGATTGGTGTAGAACTTTTAGGATTTGTGCAGCCAAAAAGGGGCCCTCAGATAAAGAAAAATCTCTTCTTCAGATTTTGAATGTTGGAACTCCTTTTGAACGACTTCAGATGGATATACTTGGTCCGCTGCCAATAACTTCTTCAGGAAATAAATATCTTTCAGTCATAGTTGATTGTTTTACAAAATGGGTTGAAGCTTTTCTTTTGAAAAATATCAGGGCGAACACCGTAGCTGAAGTATTCGTCAGTCAGGTAATTTCGAGATACGGTGTGCCTTTAGAAATTCACACTGATCAAGGAAGGAATTTTGAATCACAGTTGTTTAAGGAACTTTCAGAAATGTTAGGAATTAGAAAGACAAGGACTACAGCTCTTCATCCTCAATCTGATGGGCAAGTTGAACGTCAACATCAAATGATTCTTCAGTATTTGTCCAAGTTTGTTGACGAAAATCAGAAAAATTGGGATAAATGGATTCCGTTATTTCTTTTAGTATTTAGATCTGCAAAACATGAAATAACGGGAATGACTCCGGCAGAATTGAATTTCGGAAAAGATTTAAAGTTACCTTTAGATTTACTTTGTGGAACTCCTCCGAAAGATTGTGTCACAAACTTTAGAGATTATGTTTCTGATTTAAAAGGAAAATTAGATGAAGTTTATTAAAGTGTTAGGCAGAAAATGACTTTAAATTCGGAAAAGATTAAAAGGTGGTATTATAGGGAGCAGGGGTCAGCAGGGATCAGGGAGCTAAGAAATGTTTATTTGAAGAAGGTCAGAAAGTTTGGTTTTTCAATCCACAAAGGAAAATTGGGAAAGCTCCAAAGTTACAAAGTAATTGGGAAGGACCTTATGAAATAGTAAAATGGTTGAATGAAGTAGTTTATTGTATTAGAAAATCGAGTAAGAGCAGGAATAAAGTAGTACACGCAGATAGGTTAGCTTCTTTTAGTGAGAGACAGAAATAAGGAAGACATCAGATACCTGTAAATTTTTAATGGTAAAATTATTTAGAACAAAATCTTGCGTTCATTTTCTTTACTTTAAGGTTTAATTTTGGAGAGCGGTTTCGGAAGACCACATCTGGGAAAAAGAAAAGAGAGAAGGCTTCTTCCCCCACCGTTTTTGATCGTGATTTTTCCGTGGGGCATTGGGCGAATGCCGAGGCAGGGATTCGGGGTGTTCTATAAAACGTTGGGTCCACGGTAGTTCCCCCCTCCCTTGTTCGAAGAAGAGCCAAGGAGGAGACGGATGAGGAAGAGAAAGAGAAGCGGATCGTTTTTAGAAAGGCCTTGAAGATGGTTTACTTCTTGGAGGACGAAGATAAGAATGGTGCTCTGGGAACAAGGAGTCAAATTCCTCGGAACCCTTTGATTGAGAACATGGAGTTCGGTAACCTGTAGCAGCTTAGGAAAGGGAATAGGGAACTAGTGCTTCCGGCCGCTACCCTTGAAGGCAGGCACCCCCCTGGTGTTTTAGTCGGTGCGAGTCCGACATAACCCGAGGGCCCTCCCAGGGCCCGTGGGTACCCATAAGGGGTTTCACTAGGGTCACCAAAAAAAAAAAAAAACCTGTAGCAGCAGCTCAGGGTAGAACAAGTACTATGGAATTCTCTGGAGTCAAAGAAGAGGATGACCTTGCTCAGGAGAATTGTCGGGACCACAATTTCTAGAGAGAGGGAGCAGTGTTGTGTACGGGCCACAAGGAGTGTGGAAGCGTCCGTTGTCCGCAAGCCTTAGGCATATGGATTTTGACAGTCGAAGGATGTTTGTCTGGACGACGAGAGTTTGTTGAAAAACAATAGCAGAGAGTCTGTCACAAGCCGTCGCCGCGAGTAGACGTGACCTGGACGTGTTTCCTTAATATTGTTAAGATGAGAGGATTTTCGTGAGTCTGTACATATTGGAAATAAAACGGAGTTCTTCTTTTCTTTTAATTCTGTGTTAGTTCATTTCGCGGACCTGGTACGCGCGAGACGGACATGCGCAACAATATATATATATATATATATATATATATATATATATATAATTATATTAATATATGGTTGTTAGTATTTTTGTAATTGCCATTTAATAGTATATAATATTTAATAGTATATACTTACATCGTTTTCTGATGCCATTTCCAAACGGATCACCAATAATATAATAATAAAAATATAACCTTGTCTTTGCGCTGTTGATAAAGGAAAAGGACATAAAATGATTATCGATAATTGTATTTTCAAGTGATAATCGATTCCGCGTAGCATGCGCGTAGCGACACCAGTTGATCTGTTCTTTTTAGCTGCGCTGGTGCAGTATTAGTATAATACAGTACCAATACAGTAGTGCAGCTAAAAAGAACAGACCAAACTTGGTGTCGCTGCGCGCATGATACAAGAAATCGATTATGATTTGAAAATACAATTATTGATAATAGTCAATATACATCCTTTTCCTTTAATCAACAAGAGATTCCCGTGAGACAACTGCAAGGTTATTTTTATTATATTATTGGCGACAACCTATCCGTTTGGAAATGGCATCAGAAAACGATGTGAGTATTATATACTAATAATACTATATGATATTTTTATAATTAAAAGGCAACTATTACAAAAATACTAATAACCATATATTAATTTAATAGTAAATATATATATATATATATATATGTATATACTCAGGATACATTCGGATTATTCGTTATCACATTTGCGGGAAAATTGCAGCTCTGGCTAGAAGAACAGTCGTGAACTATTTTTCTGCTCTGCATTATCATATTTATCGGAAGATCTAACCGCATATATTAAAAATTTTTCTGCAAAATTTTCGTATCGTTTTAAGTTTCCTACCTAAATTTTGAGTTGTTAGAAATGATTTGTAAATTTTTCCTCTTTGGAGCATCCAGAGTTTCAGTACATACAAGTTGCAAAACTTTTGTATTAGATAAATATTACGCTAACTGACAATTCGAAATTCTAATTTAAAAATTTTTTATCGCTTTCGTCACATATTGAGTGATGCTCCAATTAATTTTTGTACGTACTTTCATCGTGTAAAAGCATATTTAATTTTGAAGCATTTAAGACGACGTAAACTTTACAGAAAAAATATCAAATTTTGACAGTTCTCTGTCGAAAGCGTTCAGCATCCCCTTAAGTTCAAAAATGTTAAATGCGATATTAATCAGTGGTATATATAAGTAGGGATAAATCCGGCCTCAGGAAGGAGACCTTGCAAATATATGTAAAGATAAAGGTCATTGCAAGTGGATCTCCTATCCGGTATATTTATCATAAATATTTATAACAGAATATAGTAGCATATATCAATTTATTCCAGTTTATCAGAATATATATTTATCAAATATAAATCCAAAATTGACCACAATTAATGTAGAAAGGAATGTGAAGTAGAGACTTAAATGTTAGCTAAAGTAAGAACGGAAAAATGCCAACGACGACACGTAATGTACGAAAGTATAAAAATAGGAAGCCATTTAAAGCCGCAATGTGTGAATTTAGAATAAATATCAAATAAAAGTAAGCAACCCTTTTTTAGAATTATAAACGTTTCTCCATATTGGCGACGAAAGTTATTTATACTTGTTTATTAATCATGCATGAATAAATAATCGAGTATTTTATCATAATATTTTATTATTGCCTTGTTTACAATAAATATTCTGCGTATTCTCCTTCCATTTCCACACACCTTGATACCTTCGATTTACAGAATTACGAACTTTTGTAACATTATAAAGATTAACTTCTCAAGATAATATTTCGTTAATAATATCAGCAAGTTCATCATTTTCCAACATCGTGAGATGATTACCTTCGATACGACGAACTTGCACGTTACCTTCAGTTACCTGAATAATAATTAATTTTGTCGTCAATTGATTTTCGAAGGCGGAAACTACATCGATATGCTTCCTTATATTAAGATTACCTTTTTCAAGTCGCTATTTTCGTCGGCAGAAGGCAGGTAGGACGTTGTAGGTTTTAGTAATAGTATAGGCGATTTCAGTGGCGGTGATGAGGACGCATCATACTCGTGAATAGCGATCAGATGCTTATAAACCGTTGTACAATAAATCTTGTAATTTTCAAGAGAAGTTACTTGCACAATATCGTCTGAAAGACATTTGACGACAGCATCCCATTTTTTCTTCCACGTGTCGTGTTTAGACAATTCTAATAAAACCTGTTAACAATTATCGTTATTACGTGTCTTATATTATAACAATAAATTCACCATACACAACATACCGATGTAGTATCGACAGAGTAGAAGAGATCTATAAGGCCTAGGAGAACATTATTCTGAAATTCCTGAAGATTCGTGAAAGGAAAATATTGATCTTTCAGAGTTTTCATATAATCCGGTGTGCCATCAATTAATATTAACCGTCCTGTGAAATTTCTCGCCTCCAACAATCTCGTCAACTCGATAGCGATTAACGACCCGTATGAATACCCAACTATTATGAATTCCGCAGAACCCTCCATCTTTGATATTATATGCTACAAAAAAAGAGAGAGAAATAAATGTTCGTTTTTTCTTATTAGTTTCTTGATCGACGTGACGCAATTCCAATCTAGTGGAATGGAATCACGGAAATATCGAAAAGGCAACTTCCCTGTTATATTAATACGTACAGGTAACAGACTGGCAGCCGACTGCAATACAGATTCACTCGTGGGGATATTGTTTGCTCCGTGCTGCAAACATGTCACGGGACCTTCGATTTTCGAAGCCAACGAATTAAATACGCTCCCGCAACCTTCGATTCCTGGTAGAAGAAATATCCGCTTTGTGCCCACTTTATTTCTTGTAGTTATCTCCAAGCAAACATCTGGAACTATGTCTAAATTATTGATTAAACGAATTAAAAATTTTATACCCGCCGAATCGAGTGTCTCAATCTGCTCAAAACGCTTGTCTTTGTCGGCCATATTGTGGAGTTTCTCCAAAGTGAGAGTTCTAATGTCCTGCGCGGTAAGATAAACGTCGAATTCTTTCTCCAACGTTTGCTTGATCTCTACCGCCGTCATTGAATCCATACCCATCTCTGACAGGGGAGTGCGAAGTCCAACCGCTTTCACATCTTTTATTCCTAAGTAAGCAAAGACAGGAGAAGATAAGGCTCTTGGATTTTTATCATGATCACATAAATCACAACAAAAGGTATGAGAAAGAATACACACATCATTCTTGCCATAGGTATTTTATAAAACAGTAACATTTAATATCTATTACACTTCGGACAGTAGAAAAAAATGATGTAAGGAAAAGTTGAATCCTAATCTTGAATTGAGTGGGCACACTATTTTTTTATGAAATCGATTTTTTATTGGTGCAATAAAGGTTGGGCCATAAAAATATAATTGTATTTTTATTTTAAATAGAACTCCTTTATTTTTTGTATAAGTAGATTTTTAAAATATTTTTCGTAAATTTTTTGTATAAATAGATATTTTAAATATTCTCCGTAAAAAGGTAGCAGGATAAGATGACCAAAAAATGAGTAGTTAATAAGACATTTAAGATTTATTAAAGTAAATGTTTGAACGTTCCACCATACAATAAACATTTGGCATCGAGTGTCTAGAAGGATATTTCGAACACTGTTTATAAATATTCAATTGCGTCGAAAAAATTGTACCGTCTACGCCTGTCTAACAATAAGAATCGTACGCAGTAACGAGTTGTAATTCAATGAAGAAAATATATCATTATGAAAGTTTTAAACAATGAACAAAAGTAGACATGTTCACCATTTCTGTGTTTTGTGATAAGAATGCTGTTTGTGATAAATTGTGATAAATGCTGCAATTATATATCGTCTCATATCCGTAATGTTGCCAAATGTTTGTTGTACGATGGAACATTCGAATATTTACTTTAAAATCTGAATCTGAAATGTCTATTCATTTAACTACTTACTTTCTGGTCATTTTAACTACTTCTTTCTGCAGAATATTTTAACTTGTACAAAGAAAAATCAGGGGCTTCAGTTTAAGATAAAAATGTAGCTGCATTCTTCTCGTCACTGCGCTACCAAAAAATTGACTTCATAAGACAATAATGCTTATGAGAACATTCAACTTTTACTTACGCTGTCTTATTCTTTTGTATTTTCCAAAATACAATAGATATTAATTGTTAGGATTCTGTGAAACACCCTGAATACAATTAACATTGTGTGTATCATTAATTGTAATTTTTTAACTTTAATTTCAATGTTTTATCGTAAAAAGTTTTCGAAATGATCATCAGATTTGTCACGTTTATGATGAAAAAATTACCCATGATACTAGCTACAGTTTCCACAATGTCCATTATTCCACCAAATATCGCGCGCTTCTCTGCCACAACCATACTACCCACGATCGGCTTATTTAGAACCATGAAAGTGTCCAGCGACTGAAGACAGGATTGTATTTTCTGTTGTAGAGTACCGCCGATGATCAGTTCCTTATTGTCCTCTTGCATATCGGCCACGAGACCCACATCACCCACCGCGCCCCACTGTATAGCCATCCCAGGTAATCCGTCTTGTACTCTTCTCTCGCATATTCTCTCCATGATGGAATTGGCCATACCGTAATTAGTTTGGCCGGAGTTTCCTCGGCCACACGAAACGGATGAGAAGACAACAAAGTACCGGAGGTCAGGGCACATTTTCCTGGACAACTCGTCCATTGTTTTCGTCGCCATTGCTTTCGGTTTAAATGATTCCTCGAAGGACTCAGTTGTCTGATTCTTGTAGAGAGAATCTTTCAGCACTACGGCAAGATTGAATATAGCGTCCACCGGTCCCATTTCAATGGCAGTGTTCAGGATGGACGCGCCGTCCTTGTGATCAGACGCTTCAGCACTCGCGATAATCTGCACATTTACCCCGTAGGACTTCCATAATTCCACCCTCGAGCGCTGGTAACCGTTTCGCAATCCTGTCCGCGAAGTGAGAAGAAGATTCTTTGCTCCGCGAAGAATCAGCCAGTCGGCCAATTCTAGACCAAAGCCGCCTAATCCGCCCAAAATGATGTAAGACATATGAGACTTGCAGAAAAATCGGGGATAAGCGAGAATAGGAAGACTCAATGGCTCGTTTTCATCGCGTATCTTTATCAGGATCTGAAAATAAGAATGATAATAACAGAATTTCATTGCGATCATATATAGAGCAGCTGTTGCGATAACATTAAAAATATGAATTTCTAGTGTGCGCGAGAAATTACCTTTCCTATGTGCTTGCCAGTTGCCATATACCTGAAGGCATCTTCTACTTTGGTCTTTTCAAAGACTTTCCTTGGAAGAGGTTTTATCGAGCCATTTTTCAGACATTGTAACATATAATTATATATAATTCCGTAATTCTTTGAGACGGAACTTATTATATTGTCTAACATAATTGCATGGAAACTGACGCCTTTCGCAAAAATCATTCTGTCTAAAGTATTATCGGCGATCAAGTCATATTTTCCTATTTCCAAGAATCGACCGCCTTTTGCCAAGCAGCGAATAGACGCCTGAAGCTTCTCCTCAGCTAAGGAATTCAATACGATATCAACTCCCCGACCGCGTGTCTGCTCAAGTATCATTTGTTCGAAACTTGTGTCGCGAGAATTGCCGATATGATCGTCAAGGATCGAAGGAAAAGTTTCTCTAATGAATTGCCGTTTCTTCAAAGTTCCGACTGTCGTGAATACTTCGCACTTTTCGTACAGCGCGAGGTGGATCGCGGCTTGACCAACACCGCCGGTACCCGAATGAATGAGAACTTTGTCTCCTCTTTTCATTTTTCCTTTCTCGTAGAGAGCGTAGCAGCTTGTGGCATAAACACACGGAACTGTAGCAGCATCCTCGAATGTCCATTCATCGGGAATAACCCAAGACATAACGTGGTCCTGGATTGCAACATTTGATATTCCTCTAAAAATATAAATTATGTTTTCATTCAAGTTGACGTCGTCTTTCAATCATGGAGGGAAGATTGATAACTGCATTACATATCTACATTAGTGCTAAATCTAATATCCTTCAATACAACATTGTTATTGAATTTATATCTATGATATAATAACTATATTTTGTATTATATCCTCTCACCTATCGGAGCATAACGCCATTATTCTTTGTCCAAACCCATCATACCCGACAAATTCAAAGCCTAAGAAAGAATCGATATCTCGTTCAATCATTTGGAAGGATTCCAACGCCAGTTTACCAGTAGCTATCATAATATCTCTAAAATTCAGTGCCGCGTAAATTTTATGTATCATATTTTCGCGGCTGAGTTTGGGAGATGTCCGTCCTTCGACCCAACGGATTGTGCTCATATCACCTCGGATCTAATAGGAATTAAGTTCACAATATAATTTCGTATTATTATTAATATAAAAAAAATTGTTGTAAAGGAATGGTTTTGACTTTTGATGAAAATTGAGTTGTTCCGACGTTTTCCGCATAAAGATAGATAAAGTTTTATGCAAATTTCTTTCCGTGTCCACTTTGTTATCGTATACAAAACCCTTATGTACCCTTTGAGCGACGTAACCGCACTGCACAGGTATGGGTTCCGGCGGCGATAATGACAAGTGTCTGTAAGAGCCCCAAACTTTGCCGGGACGTAAGACATTAATGGGTAAGTCTAGTCGCAACTGATTCATGTAAAAAGGCTCTTGCAAGGAGAACTTGGGCGCGTTCTTATCCTGAATGAAGACGCATCTAACTGTGTCGCCGCCTGGCTCCTTTCGCAAACAATTTACAAATCCTATGACACCGCACTCAGGATCATCTTCCACAACAAGTGTTACTCGTGAGTTCGTCTCGTCGTCCGTGTCCAATGAAGATTTGAGCTTTTCGATCCACGAAAACTCGTAATTGTTTATATGCACGATTTCTCTTTTTATTATTGCACTTTGCGCCTTTCTCAGAAGCAACACCAACTCCCGTTCCGTGCGTTTCTCCAAAATGATATTCAAATTGTACTGTTGGAGCAACTCATTGTCGTATGTGACATTGAGGTCCTCTCGGGTAAACAGAAAGCCACCAGCCATTATATTAGACAGTAATGTGTGTGCACTTTTCGTTAATACTCCAACTCCAACAACCATTAGGAACGTATCGCCGTTTAACACTTTGTTAGGTTGTACGACCGATAGATTTTGTGGTAACAAAGAGCAGTCGAATCTGTTCTCCATCGCAGCCAACGTCAGATTAGATCGCACTAATGGCAAGTTGCTCAGAACTTTGTCCACAATTGGAATAACTAGATCCTCCAGTAGAATCTTGTCATCGTCCTCGACAAACTCGATCACTTTGACGTTTCTCAAATTGTAACATTCAAGCGCGATGTGTATCGATATTTGCACCGCATCTTTCAAAGAGATCGTGTTATGATCGCGGTGAGCAATGAACTTGTATTCTTCGTGTACAGATTCGACGTTCGTCGATCGGCGGGATATGACCATGGACTTCAGCCCACAAATTTCAATTCCTCCGGATATAATGGCGTCGAAAGAATCATAGACACGTACGGGTACATCTGTAATAAAATTTACAATATGGAGATGACAATAGGAAACCTGCATGAAGAGCAAAATATTGCAAAATACGAAAATATTTTAAATTAAATTGTGCGTTCTTACTTCTTTCTTCAATAGAGAGGTTATGAAATTGCGTCATATGATGTGCAGGGTCGATTACCAATTTACGAATTTGAGTCGGTACGTAAAGATTTCTCGAGTCAACCGATAAGAG